CGAGAACACAGGTAGAAACACTTTTGATCTCGACAATTAATAACACAGTTTTACTGCTATATAATTAGTATTAAAATAAAAATATATGTTACATTGTTAAGGTAGGTTAAACTCAAAAGCGCCCATAATCCCAACAAGAATCTCGATGAAGGTAGCACGATTACACGATGGATTAACGAATGTAGCCTTCGAATTCCAATATTCTCAGCGTCAGCGATTTCCTTATGACGACTCACGGAGTCAATCCATGTCAAGCTAAACTAATTACTCATCCGTTGGGTGGCTAGGATTGCCCGGAAATAGCGATTAGCGACGTTGGCAAGCTGAGACGAATTCGCATTTCCTCCCTGATAGTTTCCCCTCGTTCTCGATCCCTTTTCGCGTAGACGAAAACTTCGTTACCTGCGACAATTATCGTTCTTCCTGGATGACGGACATAGGAGACAAGGATGCGCGTACTCACTCCGCGTACGCGATGAACATAAATTCCCGATCACGTATCTTATCGAAACACATCGTTGTCCTCCATTAACTCGTTCGGGCTATCGTGAGGCACTGCGGAACTTCGAGCTCGTCGGTCACGATGTTTTCGACTGATTAAATTCGTCGTGCATCGCTAGATGACACTAATCTTACGAGTAGGAGGGATGGAGGGGAAAGAATAGAATAAAAATATTTTCTTTGAAAAATAAAGGATACTTTCAATATTTTCTCATTTATTCGACAATTAATTTCTTTTATTTTTGTAAATTGAGAATGTAATTTTTATTAGATTATGCATTTAGCTTCTACTTTTTAAATTGCAAATTTATTTAATGTATATCAGGAGTTTTTCATCAAAGAAATAAATAAAATTTGAAAGAGCATTTATTCATAATATAATAATATAATATGTCTTATATAAGCTTCCATTCCTACAACAGTATATACTTCATATATTATATAAATTTCTCTTAGATATCTCATAATTAAATTCTTATATAATTTCTTATGTACAATTCAGTAAAATAATTTTTTTATAGAAATATATTTTCTGCCCTTTCCCTATAAAATAACATGTATATATACATTTGAATTGCTTGACTAGTTAATTTAAGCTAAGACACGATTGCTGAAAGGCCGAATCTTGTTATCTCGGACATTTACATGCTCTCCACGAGACGAATCGAGATGCTTTGCCCTTCCGCTGCAACTTAATGATCCAATATACGTAGATTACCCGATACAATTTTATTTTCTAAAACAGTTCCAGAAGGCAAATCTATGCGTTCTCCGTGATTGGCGATTATAATGACGGTGCCTTTCAGTGTTACCCCTTTTCCAAAGGTAACATCACCTGATACTGTTAAATGATCTAACTCGAGGAGATCCGGTATTGTCGGAAATCTAGTTAGAAACTCTTTTACCTGTAAAAAAAAAAGAAAAGAGACTAAGATACAACTGGATATTACTATATATATGATAAAATTAAAGATAAAATTCGTATGAATTAGTAAAAATTGGAATAAGAGTCAATCCTACTGACTTTTGAAAAATGATTATCTCCCAATTTGATGAGAGGCGTTGTGGGGAACATTCTTTGAGGACTCATTACGAGAGATCCGTTACGTAGCGTGTATAAATTACTCATTACAAGCATTAAATCAGAAGTCTTTTTCACCGGCAAGAATCTACTGCGCGGCACATTTATACCTGTAGCAAATAAACATTTTTAATTAAATATAATTGTGTATAGAGAATCGATTTAAAATAAAGCAGGATTTTTTGAGATAAAGAATTCTAGAAATTAAAGAATAAAAAACAATTTTGTTAAATCAGAGAAGCGTTATCTCTTTCAGCACTTACCAATACTTCCTTCGAATGATTTCATAGCAGCTCCTACAGCTGTTTCAAGTTGTATTATATTTAGACCATTGGTAAAAGTTTTATTGTTTACAATTATCTCCATATTCAAGTCTTTCTGCTCAAGTACTCTCTCAATGGCTATTTAAGAAGCAACATATATTAAACACAAATTTAATATTTATTATATGGCATACATAATTAATTATACGACAATCTTAAATACACATACCATTAAGTTTAATCCAAAGGTTGTTGGTATTGAAATATTTAAATGTCTTAACAGATTTAAAGTCATCGATATGATCCTTGGGGACTTGAGCTATTTCAAGGAGACGAAGTTTATCTTCGTATTTTATAAGCGTACCACCCTATAAATAAAATATATAAAATAAAATATATAATTAGAATTTCTCTCACGTTATTTCAGACGAATTGCAATTCTCATGAAATGCACCTTAACGTCCGCTCGCGTTTTATCAGTTACTTCCATGACAAATTCAAGAGGTGGTTCCGGGCTTTTACTAAGCAACGATTTCAAGATTTTTATGTCTACCGTGGCACCAAGATTATCTATGTTAGAAATAAAACAATATTCGCGGCCCTGCAAAAAATCCGAATTTTTTAAAAATTGATTATCGTATCATTATTTACATGGACGTGAAAAATGCCATTTTATTACCTCACGAATGAATTTTTTGAGCAGACCAGAATTCAGGAAACTTTCATAAAAGTCTCCATGACCGGGTGGATACCACCTGTTAACAAATTATTTTTTTTCGTGAACCTGTTAAAATAATGTTAACAGTGATTTTATGAAAATCGTTCTTACGCTTCTATATCCTCATCGACTTGGCAGTGCTTAGCGATTGGAAGGAGAGAATCTCTATTTATACGCGGATAACAACTCTGATTAAAAGTATAAATGTCTATATCAATTCCTTTGTACTTTCTAATTATGCGTTGCGTATCGTCGTCTGTGTTGAACGAATTCATCAATATGAGTGGCACGTTAGCGTTATACGTTTTATTTAGATGCTGTTACAATAGAAATACATACAATTATTATACATTATATTATAATCTTAAAACTAATAGTGATTAGTGAAAATAATAAAAATAACTAAGTTATAATTTGTATACCTCAATCTGCTGAACGGTGAGATCAAGAAACGTAAGTCCATTTCGTACAGCAATAACGGACTTCGGTCCGTGACATCCCATGCTCGTTCCAAGACCACCATTTAGCTTGACGACAACCAACTTATCCAGCAGTTCCTTCACCTCATTCGTCTCTGGTGATGGCAAGGAGTTATAATTCTTGACCTGTGAAAAAAACATAATTCGGAATTATAAAATTAATTAAATTTCTATATTATTTATTAATAGAATTCATCAATTAAAGCACTAATAAAATACAGAACGTTTTTAGAAGATAATTTCATAGACTCTCCATAGAACATCATAATAATTTCGGTTCTCGACTCACTAATTATAATTAGTGATGATAATTATCAATATCGAGTTGTTAATTAAAATTGACTGAAAAGTATGCTGTTACACAATTTAAAAGAAAAATTTAAAAGAAATTTAAAAGAAAAAAAAGAGGAAGATATTTCCTCATAATCTTTCTGTTTCTGCATGATCGAATTTCACTCACCGCATCTTCGGGCAGCTTCTGAATATGGTCCCATTCTAAAGACGGACCCTCCTCCTGCAGGAATCGCTCGAAAAGATGTTGGAATCCAGCGAACTGCCGGCTGAATATCGTCGTCTTGTTTTCGCGAGCGGTTGCCTGCAACTTCTCAAGCTCGCGTTGCAGTTCATCCCGTGCATCTCTCTTCGTACGCTCGCGAAATGCCTGTGTATCTGAAGAGCTGCGTTGATGACCACGTGCCTGTGGAGTTTCCTCCGTATTATAGATCGAAACTTTTTTTTTTACCTATTCTTTTCGCGAAATCCTCCCAATCCGCTCCTATAAGTTTGTCGCAATTCGAAGGCGAAATGTTACGCATGATAACTTTTCAAGATCGCGGCCGTATAAATCGACAAAAAAAAATACAAGAAAAAAGTAGAAAAAATAAATAAATCGTGTATACGCGTGCAATGACTCGGGATATGTCTGACCGCTTTCTCAAAAAGTTTCTCGTTATAAAATCTCCCTCGTCGGAACAAAATTCTCATGTAGAAACGCAATCTTGTAAAAATTGACTGTAATCTGTAGTAATCAACAAGCGTCACCAACGAGGACTGTTTTTTCTTTTTTTCTTCCTGTTTTTTTTTCTCTAACATGCGACGAATTATCGTGAATCGTCGTCATTGTCTTCTCGAAAAACGCACGAAAGCAATCGCGTTGTTCGTGCTCGGAAAGGTCTCTCAAAAGGCAAACAAATAGATAGCGAATGCAAAAGAAAGTAAAATAAATGGATGCAATGCGATAACGATAAATCCAGAAATGAAAATTACTATAGAGAATCGGCAAATTTTAACGTTACATATATTTCGCTCGCATTTTAGGAAAGAAGAGAAAAAAAAATTCCGTTCGTTTTTGATTCATTTTTTTCCAATTAATTAAAGCGATATTTCGTAATTTGTTTTTTATCATTTACGTGTTGCAGATTACGGTTAGATACGGAAGCGTGTTATTATACATTTATATAATTATACATTTGTATAATTATTTGTATATGAGATTAAAAAAGGAAAAAAAAATACTAAATGTCTTTTTTCTAATTCTTAGATGCAGAAAAAGGCAAAAAGTAAATTAATCTATATTTATTTTTCCAATGTAGAATAGCTTTAATTTCGGTTCAACTTGCTTATCTTTTTCTAGTCTAGTAAAAATGAAATAAAGAGTAATTTTAACCAACTATATGCGCTTTAATTGTATATTGATAAAGAGTAAGTTTAATCAAGATACCAAAGTTAATTTATATTGACAGAAATAAAAAAAAATTTTAAACTGATTGACATATAGAAGACAATGAAATTATAAAAAAAAACCGTAAAGTAAATGGCAATAAAAATTAGAAAAAAACTTTTTTCTCAAAGTTGCCGTGAATTTTTTTTCATCTAAGAACATTAAGCCTGACCCAATGTCGCGATCGTGTTGATCTCGCTTGCGAGACGATAATTCGAGTTCAAGTTGACCCGGAGATTCTCGGTTTATTGCGGAAAAAAAAAAGAATAAAAAGACTAAACGAAATGAGCGACATTTCGCGATATTTCATTTAATTTGATTTATAGTTGAGGTAATATTCTCAGATCAAATAGGATTGGCATAAGCTGATATTTATAGCCGGAGATCTTATATAATACTTAAGACCGTTTTAAGTATAATCTAAGATGTCATGAACAGATTAGAGATTATCATCTTAAGACATTATTTGTGACTTAGTTTAGTAAATAAAACGGACTGTAAATATCGCCTATCTTTTTCCCTACTTCTTCTTTACTTCGTGAATGAGACCAGCATAAAAAAAATGTGCGGGACGAATAATATAATCATCAATTTAAATATTTAATTTTCAAATATATGTACCGCGATAATAATACAGCGCACAACTGTCGACCTTGCATATGTAAAAGAGCGTAAAGTCAGTTTCGCAATGGTGAGAGGAATTTCGCGACTTATCGCGGGACTTGCGTGAGAATTATCACAGAAAACACTTCGGACACTTTGTTTAAACCTATTTTCTATACATTAGCATTAAAAATCATTAAATTTGTGTAGGAAACAATAACTAATACTTGAGCAAACGCTATCCTCCCCTCCTCCTCCCTCCCCGTTGACCTTTTTACAAAATCATGCGATAAGATAATTTCGAGGAACGGAGTACATGCATCGTATGAATTTTATCTCTCTGTTAAAATAAATAGTCATTATTACGTTCGATTACTCGGAATATCAGAAAGATAGGAAATTACCATGAAAAAAAGAGATTTCGGAGCTATTAATAATAATCATGTGAACATAATTTAAGCCATTAATATTAACCATTAATATTAATAATAATATAATAAGCATAATTTAAGCACCGTTATCGCAACTATTAACGAATAACATTTAGGTTTCGATTCACTTGGAACCCATTTTGCGACATAACTAAAATGAATAATTCCCGCGATTTCTATCTCGGTTATCCCGCATCTGTTATAAGAATATATCGCGAATGCTTTACGATACGTGAAATCACTGTCGAATGAGAAAAATGAGATCAGAAAGACTTACAGTTAGCCTCGGTTCTACCAATCTAATATAAGATTAATTTTAATCTCGATTTAAAACTGACTCTTTTCTTTTTCTAATTCTTAGAATTACGCTCGTTTTTATAACTAGTTTTTATAACTAGTAGTTGAAGGTTAAAGCTAATCTTAGAATTAGAAAAAAATTTCTTAAAATTAGAAGAATTTTTAGAGTTAGAAAAGAATAAAGAGTAAGTTAAACCAAGATTAAATTTAATCTATTATACATTAGTTAATCTATTATACATTAGTAGAAATGAATATTAGTAGAATTGTCATTTCTTACGTAAACTTAAATAATGACGAGAGAAAATTTCTCTCGCGATTTTCTATCTTTTGAAAATAGAACTTTTTTTATATTAAGCCAGAACATGGATCAACTATCATATAAATTCGTAACAATATCCGTTTCTTAATCAAGTTAACTTTAAGTAGTTTAATTTTAATCTCGGTTCAACTAACTCTTCATCTTTTTCTAGTTTTAAGAATAAGAAAAAGATAAAGAGTAAGTTGAACCGAGATTAAAGTTAATCTATATTGGTAGAAACGGATATAAGATAAGCCATTTACGGTCAAAGTCAGATGTTGGAATAATACATCTGTATTTTTAAATAAATTTATCTCGGATATATTGCTTTCACACTTGCAACACAATTTCATTTTGCATTGCGAGCTCGAATATCGGCGCGCTGTCATTTATCTGAGATAAATTTATTAAAAAAACACATATTGGTTGGTATTCATAATCGATTCTTGTATTCAAGACTGTCTTAAGATGTTACACTGAAAAAAAAAGATTGGTTGAATATGACATAGTATTTTTAATTAGTTACAGCAACCAATATGTCATATTTTATACCATTTAAATTATTGTAGCAGCCAATCTTTTCTTTCAGTGCATGAATGAATTACAGAGTTAGCATGTCTTAAGATATTTAACTTAAGATTTAAAGAACTCAATATAAATACCAGCAGTAAATATATTTTTATTCAAAAAATGACTTATTATTTTAATATTTGACTTTGATCGTAAATACAGATATTTCTCTTATTTAGTGGAACTGTTTTTCATTTCGTTTTATACACAATTCATTGCATGAATCAGGAACAATCATCGCCTTTCAGAAATCCGCGAAAAGATAAGCCGCACACAAGTCGCACGCGACACGAGATCGACTCGAGGCCAATGAGATCGGTACCACAATTACATCCCAGAATGACGCTGCGCGCTCGAGTCGAATTTGCCTATCATCATTAGCTTACATAACGACAGATTAGTATGAATAGTGCTTGTATAAATCATTGCGTAAAAACTCGTGGAAATTTTTAGTCCGTGACGAAAAAGAAGATCCCCGAAGTTTGTGAATCAGGAGCCTGATCCTTAAATGATCTCTTTCAACAAAATGTCCTCGTTATCTCTATGATGGCTGAGGGAACGTCAAATGTAGGTAACGACTTAATCTCATTAGATATCTAAAGATAGCCATTATCTCACACACGTGGAGAACAAGGCGCGAAACAGCTTATGGCAAAAATATCACTAATGAACATTGAGAAAAATTTCTAATTGGAAATCAGAAAATTTTTATCATATCAAGCAGAATTCTACTTATTTATTATCTCAATTAGAATTATAATAGATTTAAAAAATTTTTGATTTGTCCATTTTCAACCAAAATTCCAATTGATGTAACCAAACTATTTTTCAGTAAACAATTACAAGCAACTGGTTTCTGACAGGATTATTTCTGATTAAAAATAGACGAATTGTAATATTTAGTTATATCAGGCAGAATTCTACTTATTTAAACTAGAATTATAAGAGATTCAGAAAATTTCTGATTTGTATATTTTCAACCAGAATTTCAATCAACACAATCAGACTCGCTTTCCAATAAACATAAACAGCTACAACAGAAGCTGGTTTATCAGGATTTAAAGTCTCGCATTCAGATCCTCGTTACGATACGAAGAATTTACAAATTATTTATATTTTATCTAATCATATCTGCGAATCTTTATCAATCTTAGAAATATATTTTTAGAAATAGATTCTTAGAAATATATTCCGGATATCCTGGAAGTTCGCAATACATTTTTTTTTTCAAACATTTGATGTTTCCTTCGATTTACTCTATCAACAATCAAACAATTGAAGGTCAACATTTTCCTCACAAAGAGATCGTTAAGATCCTTTCTGTGAGGAAAGACTCCAAAATTCTTCGATTTTGATTCAAATGCGAGGTTCTTTTCACGAAAGAGAAAACATTTGATGATCTTTTGAATTTTAAGGCCAATATTACACGCGTCCATTTTTTATCGAACGACATATATATATATATATATATATATT